GAGAGGAGGCAGTTAAAAGAGAAGAGACGCAATTCAACGGAGTGATGGACAAAAGCTCGTTTGGAGCGTTCTACCAGAACGGGAAATCATGTATAGGAGCTGTGCGGAAAAGAGGGGTGGGCAATGAGAAAGAAAAGGAACAAGACCAAACTGTGAAAACAAAACCGAGTACGAATAATTTGTGTGTGTGTGTCAGGTTGAGGTTCTCGGGGGAATTTGACGTTTGGTGTGTGTCCTGTGTAGATTTCTCCAAGTCTTGAGTGATCCGTTGGTGAGTCCGGAGTATCTACGGAGTGCTAAGAAATAAAAAGGAGGAGTATTCGGTACAACGAGGCATTGGTGCCGTACCAAAGAAAGTGAAGCACAAGAATAGGAGAGCAACAGGAAAAAGTGCTGTCCTCCCCCAGTAAAGTTGACTCCGGGGTAAACGAGTGTACACAAGCACGGGGTCCTACGGGTATTGAATATGACGGCCTCTGGCAGGTCGGTGGGTTGACGATAAAAGTGAAGGGGGAGGACCCGAGAGGGAGGGGGGGGGGTTTAAAAAGGCGATCACATCATGTTCAGACAAAGCAGTGACCCCGAGAGCCACTGGCCACTGTCCCACCTCTCCGGACTGTCGATGGCAGCATCTCTTGGCGTCTCCCCGAAGCCTTAGTGCCATCACGAGGCATGTGGCACTACCGAGCATGGGGTGATTGGGTTTGAACTGAGTGCTGGAACTACAGCTGTTGCAATTCGGTTCTTCGAATCGATGCCCCAATTTGCGTGCCAGCAGTTATGGGGAGGCAGCTAAATGTTTCTTGGGCGCACGGCGGCGGCTCGTGGCTGGCAAGACGAGGAGGAACTGGTGCCCACCTGTCGAAGTCTATATCGCCGACAGGCTTTTGTGCCTGTCGGTATTTCATTTTTCTGGCTACATGAGGTGTATTGGTTTTTGCACGAATGCACATCGATACGCGTTCTGACTTGTAAAGTGCTCGCATAGGTCGAGTTGTGGGTCGGCGGTCGGCACGCATCCGAGCAGGATGATGGTAACTGTCGAAGGTGGGCAAGACGGCGCTCTGCAGTGTTGTATTTGACGTCCTGAGGACACCTTTGGCGTGGAGCTCGGAAATCCCGCCAAGATTCCAGATTTTCTGCCCTGGGATGCCCAGAAATGACCAGCAATTAACCCTGGGAATATGAGTATATCGTTCTGACACGTCCAGGCAGATTTTATTTCCGTCGCACCAGGGTCTTGTTTCTGGTATACGACGAATAGCAAGATGTGTCAGTCAGATAAAGCCGAAAAGAGACCCGAAAAGAACGTGAAGGCGAGTGCGGATTGTTTGTCGGACCAGTATCAATACAGCATCTTACCTTGTAGCTCTGCTTGTTCTGTCCATATCCTTGTCTGGGTCTGTCCATTTTGCCTGTGTCGTTTTCGAAGGACATGCGATGGAGTCCATACAACGGTGCATGACGGGTTCTAACCGGGCGAGGAGAAAAGCGCCGAAGCCATGTAGTGGTAGGCTAGCATAAAATATGAGAGCGAACGACGTCAAAAGCGACATCGAGACATTTGTAGTACGGGCACGGACGACTTGCTGCGCGAAACGTCAATTGTGGATGCCGCTGCAGCGTAATGTACTTTCTCCATTCTTTTCCGGGCGAAAGACTATCCGAACCACAAAGTGCGGAGAGCGTGGGGCGCTGCAGACTATGTTGAACTTCGTGACCAGCTCAGGCGAGCGAAAGCTGGCAGCACCGCGTTGCCGAAAAAGGAGCTGCGATGCAACAGAGAACAAGGGTTGGTGGGCATCACGTCGCTGCTTTGTTACTGAACGAGGAAAACAGATCATTGGGGACGACCTGTGCATTTCCTATTCTCCCCCCCCCCCCTTTTTCGTCGTCCCTTCTTCCTCTTTCCCGTCAGGTCAAAAGTCAAACCCATCTCATTCGCGCCTGCCTCCGATTCTCGCCCATTGCTCCTTCTTGTCTCGGCAGCTGGGACAGTCGTGCAAGGTCAGGCCCAAGCGCGTGGAAAGAGCGGTTAGCAGACTTGCACTGGCGAGGAAAGAGGTATCGAGTACAACATACAACACATACTCTCCCTCCGCACAACGTGATTTTGCTCTGTGTTCCTGCCTAGCTGACCAACAAGCGCGAAAGGCAAGGAAGGAGCCTCCGGGTGACCTTGAGGGTGGGATCGCTATTTGCACAGCCGGCCGTGCGAGTCACTCTTTCCCCACACGCACGCCCCTTCCATCGTCATTCTTAGCACCGGAGTGTGCCATATCCCAGCGAGCCCAGCTGCAATCACACTTGGAGTTAGGTGCCTTCCCCACCCGTCATCTGCAGGCCAAACGGCAAGTGCCAGGTGCCAACAGGCGAATTAAACAGGCGAATAAAATCAAGCGAAAAGGCACCAAAGCCAAGCGAGCCAAGCTAGCAAAATCAGAAAGAGCAGGCAAAAAAAAGAGGGGAAATCTCCTCTCGCGCTACTAGCCCCGGCAATAACGACCAGCAACCCCGCACCCGTTCTGGGCTTTTCCCCTTTCTGCTCCATTTTGCAGGATTTCGCTGTGATCTGCCATTCTGGATGTTCAGGGCATTTGGCCTTGTCTCCCACCATAGCGAGCTTCTCCAACCGGCGCTTCTACCGAGGTCACGGCGGGCGAGGTCAGACTCATGCACAAGACGAAGAGGGGAATGAACGTCGTGTTACCTTTTTCGCCAACGACGTCGTAGAAAGAGGGGAACACTCGGCTCAAAGGACAGAGAGGGAACAGGTGCCAACATTGCATCCTGCCGCGACCTGGAGACCGAGATGGTGGTTTATGTACAGAGCACGAGATGTAGCCGAGTATCTTGACACCTCTCCGCCCATCCTCTGCAGACATTGCTCGCCCAGCATGGCTATTCTCGCTCGCAGCCTTTGAACAAGCGTGTCTGGAAGTGTCTGGACCCTATGCCGACCTTTCAAACTAGACCGGCGAGACAGCAATACAGAGCCATACTTTTCCATTGCCCGGCCGCTGTCGGCACCTTCTTGACAAGGGTATGCCCTCCACTTAGTCTCCAAAGACTTGCCTGCGTTCAACTAATGAAAAGGACGAAAAGCCACAGGGATTTTCCAACAGGACGAGAAAAAACGTGTCTCCCTCCCATGAATCGTCAAGAGCCGGGAGCTTTGGCTTCCGGGCAATGGCCATGAATTTTTTTATTTTTCCGCCTCAAACAGGGCGTCCGTAACTATGGGCAAGTGTCCATGTGAGTGGTGTTGGTGGCGTTCGGTGGAGCGCCAACGGGCATGTGTCAAAGACTCCGAGGGAACCAACCGCCTAGTAAGTTGTAGACTACTGTAGACCTTGGCACACAAGCGCTCTGCGTGAAGATTCTCTTTGTTGGCCGCCCCTTGCGGCACGGAGCGTTGGGCCGTCATACGGCAGCTTCGGCGATGAAAGAAGAGCAAGAACTTATATGCCACAAAATACAGGCCGAAGTTCGATCAAAGCAATCAACCGGTAGATGGGCAAGGTCATACAAATAGTATGTAACAACTGTGGGAATCGTGTGACGGTGGCACTGGTCCTGGGGATTCAAAAAAGCCACTATATTCTGAAAACGGTCATCTACGTCGTACAGACTGGAGGGTGGGTGCTTGTGCAAGTGAGGCCACCAACGAGAATGCAACAAAGCAAGAAAATGGAAACACAAGGATGAGAATTTGTTGGTCGGAGTGGGGGTGCAGTTAATAAAAAGGCGGTAAAATGACACCGTGATGAGAATCAAGTAACAACAGTGATAGCAAGACAGAATGCAGGAAGAAGAAACGCAGGGACGATACAAGCTGCGTGGGATGAAGCGACAAGGACGAGGAAATTGAAACAACACAGTACATCGTCCTGAAATCTGTAGTTGTAGAGAGGAGGTGCGATGATGCGACCTAGACAGTCACAATTGACGCATATGTACGACGCACGACGTACTGCAACCGTGATGAGCAAGAAACAGCGTATACGAGGAGAGAGGTTAGGAGTAGCCGGCGTCTGGTGATGCATGGATGCTGTGGAAGCCGAAGAGAAGATGTGCACATAAATTGAAAGAAAAGAAAAGAAGGAATAACATAATATATACCGCAGGAAAAGCTTAAACCCAGCCAGGTGATGAGACACAGCGTACAGCTTCAAAAAAGAAGGAAATTTGGATGGCGACAAAAACAAACAACGAAAGACAAGAGAGACACAGAGAACGAGGCAACGGGGAATAGTATCGGAGCTCAAGCAGCCGAGACGACGAGCAGCCGATGGCAACAACAGACAAGCAATTTCCAACAGACCAAAAAAAAAAAAAAAAAAAAAAAAACTTAGCGCACGAGGGTGTGATGAATCAGTGGTGTTGGCCCCCAACCAGACAGAACAAGCAGGTCTTTTCTTGTCGGCTGCCTTCATGCTGCGTCCCCATTTCGACTTTGCTAGTTGTCGTTGTTCTCCGGTTCGTCGAAGTCGGTCACGTTCAAGCCGGCTTAACTTGTTTCCCAGTCGAGGGGGGGAAAGGCCCAAAATGGGGAACCGGCTGTCGTCTGGCTGCATGGGCGGCGGCGAGCAAAAAGAGGTAGGGAGGGAGCACGAAAGGTCATGCGGCCGACAAAATGGGAGAGAAGCCAAAAAAGAAATAACCTAGCTCGCCAATAATGCAGCGGGCGTGCGGGAGCTGGCCAGCATGCCAGCATTGTCGTATTCGCGATCGAAGTCCTGTCGTCCGTTGTCGGACGTCACCCTCACTACCCTTCGACACGGACTGTTTCCGTCTAGTTGTTCTTGCGTCGTCGTGTTTCGTCGCTGTATTAGTCGTCGTGCGTGCCGATGAAAAGGGAGGATGTGTCGTGTTTTTATTGTTGTGGCATGTTGTTGTTTGTGGACTGGGACTGCCGTCTCATGTCATATGTCTTTTGATTGTCGTCGTATCTTCGTCGCTGCACCACCTCCGTGTGGCCACACATCGCATTACCCCATCTACTCCACATCCCACTCGTCGTCGTTGTTGCGCACGTATGTCGCCAGACCGTTCACGTCGCCCGTGACGTTGGCCTTGACCTCGCCGTTGCCCAGGTAGGCGAACCGGTTGCCGTAGCGGTAGCGGATGTTGTAGTCCTCGAAACGCGGCGTCTTGATCGTCTTGAGGAAGTGGATGGTGCAGCCCGGCCACAGGTAGATGCGGTTCTTGACCTTGCCGTCCTTGAACCAGCTGCGGCACGCCTCCTGGAAGACGGTCGTCTTGTGGAACTCGTCAAAGTGCGCGTAGATGTCGTCCACGGCCTCCTGCTGCACGTCAATCGACCGGATGTTCTCGTGCTGGATCTTCTTCATCATCTTGATCGAGTACTCGACCGTCGTCTCGATCGACGGCAGCAGCGTGCCGGACGACCACGTCGCGCCGGGGCCCACAATCGTGTAGTAGTTGGGGAAGCGCGGCGCCGACACCCCCAGATACAGGTTGACCTTGTCGCCCCAGTCCTCGTCGAGCGTCTGGCCGGCGCCGTTGACGAGCTTGAACGCCGGCCGGAAGGCCACCTTGAAGCCCGTGGCGCACACAATGACGTCGAGCTTGTGCAGCTGGCCGTCCGCCGTGACGATGCCCTCCTTGGTGACGCTCTTGAGCGGGCCGAAGACGGGCTCGACGTTGGGCTTGACGAGCGCCTCAAGGTAGCCGTCGCCGGGCGAGATGCGGCGGCAGCCCGGCGCCCACTTGGGAATGATAAACTCCTTGAGCTTCTCGTGGCCGGGGCCCATGCGCCGCGTCATCTCCTCGGTAATGACCTTGCGGAAGTGCTCCGACATCGCCGAGCCCTGCTGGTACATGCCGAACAACGAGTTGATCTCGGCCTCGATGCGCCGGCGGAACTGCAGGTGGTACGCCGGGTCCTTGGCGAACTTGTCCTTCTCCTCCTGGCTGAATGTATACTGGCGCTTGGTGTCGTCGCCGCCCGTGCTGCTCTTGCTCAGAAGCTCGTCGCTGAGCACGCCCGCGCCGAACGGCGGGCTGATCCACGTCGACGACCGCATAAACACCTTCATGTCCTTGACCACCGGCTGCAGCGACGGCACGATCTGCACCGACGTCGAGCCCGTGCCAATGACGCCGACCGACTTGCCCTCAAACGACACGCTGTGGTCCCAGTGCGCCGAGTGCATCACGGGGCCCTCAAAGTCGTGCAGGCCCTCAATGTCGGGCCACACCCAGTTGTTGAGAATGCCGGTGCCGTTGACGAGCACGTGCGACCAGTCCTTCCATGTCTCGTGCGTCTTTGGGTCCTCGAGCGTAATGTCCCAGATGCCGCGGTCCTCGTTCCAGCGCGCCTCGACCACGCGCGTATTGACCTTGATGTATTTGCGCGTGCCAAACCGCTCGATGCAACTGTCAAAGTACTTGCGGATCTCGCCGCCGTATGCGTAGTAGTTGGACCAGTCTGGCTTGGGATCCCACGAGAATGTGTACAGGTGAGCGGGGATCTGAGGAAAGGAGGTTAGTATTGAATGACGTCGGTGGTGACGACAGTTTCTTGCTGATCATCTCCTAACATCAACCACCAGCACGGTCGTGAATTCAATCCGACTTACATCGCAAGCAACACCGGGGTATCTGTGGAAGTTAGTAGGCATTTTTCATGAAAAAAAAAGGTCGCATCACACTCAGACTTACGTGTTCTCAACCCAGGTGCCGCCGGGAATCTCATTCTTCTCGTACAGGACCAGCTCGAAGCTGCCCGGCACCATCTGCTTCTCCTATCGGGGTGTTAGTCCGTGTGCAGGCATTGGAGAGTACGCGAGTATAAGAAAAGACAAGAATAACAAAATGATCATAACAAAGCTCGTGAACACGACGACTCGGATGCAACGCGTGTATGTTTGCCCGGGCCAGTCGAAGCCAAGGCGTGGTCCCAATAAGAGGGGTCCAGGATCGTTCCGGGAAGCGTTTCCCGTCTCCAAAAAAAAAATAGCGTCAAGCAAGAGAGACTGCAGGAAAACGAAACTCGAAATACTGCAAGGGCGCAAAGACGCAAAAAAAACCAACATACCATCTTGTAGGCAAGGCAGATACCAGAGGCACCGGCACCGATGCAGGCCACTCGCAGCTTGGCAGGCTTCGAGTGGTACTGCTGCAACACGCGGTACGGCGTCGCCATCTCGGGGTACGAGAAGGTGTTGGCATCGTTGGCGGGCTTGTCGGTGCCATTCGTGCCGTTTATTGCGGAAGGAGACATGGTTGCGGCTGTCGTTCGGAAAGAGGGCGTTGTTCGTCCAAGTGGGAATATGCCTGGGAGAAAACAGAAAAAAGGATGAAAAAGAGATGGAGAGCTGAAAAGGAAAATGCTGAATATTCTATGCGCAGATGGTTGGCCCGATGCTGGAGGAGGAGACGGAAAAGAGAGGAGGAGAGGAGGAGGAGGAGAATAAGAACAACCAATAAAAGCGAATATGAGGAGTGCAGTAAAAACGAGGGGGATAGCAGGAAGGTTTTTATTGTATGGCTACTACTTTTTCTGGCCAAAGAAAAGGAGAACAATACAGAGGGAGGAGACACAGAGATATAAGTGTGCTTGCATCTTAGTTTGATGTGGATATCGATTAGAGATATTAGTGGAACCCTCATATCTACTGTTCATTTTCTTTTTCATTTCTTTTCCATTGATTTATTTTGAAACTACTCTTGGCTGCAAGCTCTGTCTACTTGACGGAAGGGTTGCGGCTGTTGCAATATACTGCTCCGGCGGAGAGTGAGTGTTGTCAGCAAGGTATCAACAGAAGACCAAAAATACGAAGTTTCTAAAGATTTTATGGCAACAACGGAGCATGAGGGACAGCATGGCCAAGAAGGTGGTCCGATGCCATGCACATTCTTGCATGTCAAGATCGGGGCAGAGATCATGACAAAGGAGGGCCGGCCAATATAGACAGCCGGACTACAAGACGTACCAAGACAGAATCACAAAGATGGCATCCGGATTAGTGATGCACCGCAGGCCAAAGGCTGGGTCACCGCGGGGGTTTCTTTAGCCACAGTCCGCTCCACTCTGGCATCGGAACGGAGATTCACAGCATCTGCAGTGTCTTTTCAGTCCTGTTTCAAAGTAAAAACTACGTGTAACCGCACGACAACCGCGCCAGGGTGTCGTTTTGCAGGTGACCGGGCATCCTGGACGATCAGAGCATGTCGGTTTCCGTGCACCGGAGTCTCACCAGACCTTTATCCTTTCTTTCTCGCCGTATTTTATTCGTTTAGTTGCCGTCTCCTCAAAGCCGCTAAAGTTCAGTACGTATGATCGGACAACGCGACTGGTCTGCTGGTGCTGTTGGTGCAAGCGGGCCATTTTCACCTGGTTGAAGACCAAGACAGTAATGGCAGACTGTTCCTGGCGACATGATTCAAGGTTCACTGACGACGGACGTCTGTCGATTCCCTCTAGCCCCGGGACAGGCAACACTAGCCGGTTGGGGGGTTGGATGTGCATTTCCGAAGGCGGCAATGGGCAATCTGGCGCGGCAAAACAATGGTTCATTAAAAAAGAAAGAAAATGAGGAATAAATTAACGAATGGCCGAAGAAGAGAGGCAAAGATCGGTCCTAGAAAAGGAGAAAGAGGATGGCATTGTCTGTGGTCTTCTTCCATGCTGCATGATGGCATTCGGGCTGTTGGTACAGCTCGAAAAAGTGCCTCTGGCCACAGAACACGGGACGAACTCCACATATCCACCCAGGTTATGTCGTGATGCCTTTTTAGTTTTTTTTTTTTTTTTTTTTTTTTTTTTTTTAGTTTTTTTTCTTTGACGTTGCGGGCTTGACCAAGCCATGAGCCGAGTTGAATCGACTTAACCACCGATGCTACTTTTCCTTCTTGCCTCCTGTTTACTGCCCGCCCCCCACGAGTCATGGGAGCTTCTCAAGTTGTGGCGTGACAGTGGATGCTTGTGGAGACGGACGTTCACTGCCTGCACTGGGTGCGGCCTGCAACGTGGGAAAATGTTTCCCGGAGAATGGCAGGACGGGAAATGATTCAGAGTCCCCACATAGCTTCCCCGCGTTTTGTGTCTCCCAGTGGTATTTTGACCGTTGGAGAAGTATTGAATCGGGGTACACGGTATTTCATACAGTTTGTGTGCGGACACAAGTATATTTGGGGTACTTCAGTCGTCCACATCTCCGAGTAAGGACTGTCGTGATACGCCATACTTTGTGCTTTGTGCAAGGCCTCAATCTCGGGTCGTCAGTTAAGGTAGAAGGCTCGCAAAGTCGCACCTGCCCCGCCTAAAGTTAAAGTCACGCGCTTGCCCCTGGCTGCTTCCTTCTCGACCGACTGGCACCCTTCAACGGACGATGGCGATGACAGTCTCCGTACTTCACACCTTTGCATCGGAGATGGAAGGAACGACCCAGCATAGCTTCCGCTCCTAAACACAAATCACGGCTTTTCCATGTCCCTCTGGTGCTCTTTCCTTTTTTGGGTATTCTACGTTCTTTTCTCGACCGTCTCGTGATTCTCATACGTCATCTGTGCCCGTCTCGCTCTTTCTCGATCCGGACACATCTCTGCACGGCTTTTGCCTTTCAGGTTTTTGGACAAACTGTGTTGAGACTGTGCTCCGCAACCCAATCACCCAAGCAGGGGCAGGGACAGTATTTCGTACTAGCAGAGGTAGGTAAAGCAAAAGCTAGAGGAAGATGTTTGCCCGCGTCAGGAAGGGGCGCCCAAATCGTCCTCACCTCCTCACAACCTCCACAAGTCCACTTTTCCCTGGTGCTACTTCCGCCTGCGGGCCTGCCAAACCTACCGTATATGGCAAGAGGGGTATCGTTTTACCAGCAAGTTCGCTCCTTCCTCTACTTCTTCATGAAGACAATAACCTACCTTGACATTGTTGGTGTAGAGGGGTAACCTGGAAATCGATCGTTCACGCAAAACATATCTCAACATTTCTGCAAGTCCTTCTCACGCAACACCGAAGACGTTCTCTCATCCCACCTCAGGCATCTACAGAAGCAGTCACTCTCATCGTCCTCCTATCCAAATCGACCGCCATGGGTAACCACGCTCTTGTCTACGGTAAGTCGGCCTATGGAAGGCGAATTGTCACGGCGGGATCAGTGTTCGTTTGAAGCCACCATCTCTCTTGAAGCCATACATGGCGTATATACGTGCACGCGCCTTCCATGCTCCCGAATCTAACATACGACAGGAGCCAGCGGCATCACCGGCTGGGCCATAGTCAACGCCATCTTGGAAGGCTACCCCACGCCCGAGGACTTTGACAAGGTCACGGCCCTGACCAACCGCCCCTTGACACCGGAGGCCGCCAACTGGCCTGCGTCCCCCAAGCTTAATGTCGTCAGCGGCATTGACATTCTGACCGATAAAGGCCAAGCGGGCCTCGAGGCCGAGATGAAGGAGCGCGTCGCCGACATTGACACCGTCACACATGTCTACTTCTTTGCCTACATCATGGATGCCGAACCGGCCAAGGAAGTCACGATCAACGTCGAGCTCATCAAGCGGGCCGTCACCGCCATCGAGAACCTGTCGCCCAAGCTCACGTTCGTGGTGCTGCCCACCGGCACCAAGGCCTACGGCGTGCACTTGCTGCAGGACAACTTCCCCTTCCACAGCGACCTGCCTCTCAAGGAGTCGCTGCCGCGGATACCCGAGCCGTATGCATCGCAAATGTTCTACTACGGCCAGACCGATATGCTGTCGGCCATGTCCAAGGGCAAGCCGTGGACGTGGTGCGAGATCATGCCGGACGTGATCATCGGTTTTGTCCCCAACAACAACATCTACTGCCTGGCCCAGCAGCTCGGCACCTACCTGTCTCTGTACCGCGACATTGAGGGAGAGGGCGCCGAGGTGCAGTTCCCTGGCACCGAGATATCGTGGAAGAACCTGTTTATCGAGAGCAGCCAGGACATGTGCGCGAAGGTGTCGATTGTGGCGTCTCTGCACCCCGAGAAGACGTCCGAGGAGCGCTACAACGCGGCAGACAGCAACAACGCGGCGTCGTGGAGCCAGAAGTGGCCCGTGATTGCCGCGTACTTTGGCCTAAAGGGCGTGGCACCGCCGGCTGGCGGCCAGGGTCCCGACCCGGTCAACTACCTGGCGGACCACTTTGAGCAGTGGACGGCGCTGGAGAAGAAGCACAGCCTCAAGAGCGGCCGCGTCGGCAGCCAGCGCGCCTTTGGCGGCTTTGCCTACTTCATCATGACCATGCTGAACTTTGACCGGCAGATGGACATGACCAAGTGCTTCGAAATGATGGGCAAGGACAAGGTCGAGTACACGACCAAGGACGCCTTCTACACGGCCTTTGACCGATTTCGTGCGGCCAAGATCATTCCGTGAGAGGCTATGCTGTGGCCGAGAGGAGAAGAAAAGCGTTGTGGACACAGTGACGCATTCATGATGTTGACAATGGCATTTCTACTACCTCGCGTTGATACAAAAAACAGTCCACACCAATACGAAGACTTTGCATGCACGCGGAGCAACTTGACTCGTGACTGTGTCCCTACCATATCCGCAACCGGCCTACTGAGATCACATCGTGATCGTCGTCGAGAATGCTTTGAACATTACGACAAGGACAAACGATCGAGCCAACTCCACCTGGCCAGCTCAGCAGCTGCCGTGATGAATGATTGCCTATTCGTACTCCGTACTCTGTAATCTGGTAAAACCGCACGACGGCAAGAAAACCATACATTATATAGACACTCCCTGCAGAATCCTAGATCACAACAAAAAAAGGCTGAGGACATTTGATTTCCAGTGGATGAGAAGACTTGTCGGTACTTTGTTTTTGTGCGTATTTAGTTGCATAAATAGGTACCTAACCGCGGCAAAGAAGCAAGAGGGGGGCAGCTCTACAGCCGCAGGACCCGAGTGGGCCTGCGCTTCAGGCGATGCGGACTTGCAGCTGGCGCGCCAAACCAGCGCTGTTCCCACTGCCTTTGTTCTTTGTGAAGGCGTCGGCTAAAACACAACACGTTCTCCAAGCAACACGAGCAATGCCCACAATCATATGCCAGAGTGACCATTGCATGCAGCTCTGTTTAGAGAGGCATTGCCACTCCACATTGTCAGGCTGGTGAGTGCGACACCGTAGCCAAGATTGGTGGTCGTTTTCATCGGTTGCAAAGTAACGGCAGATAGATGTCTCTATCCTATCCAGGCTGGGCTGTTCGGCACAAGCCCAGCTTTGGGTAAGGAACGCCCGGTCTCCGCTCTTGGGGGGAGGGTGGTCGACCTCTCTTACTCGCTTCCTCTATGTCGAATCCTATTGTATTGTTTTACCTTCTTTATATTTATTTTGCCCTGTCCCGGTATTTGCTTTCTGCCTCCACTTCATTTCTCCTTTTTGTTCTCTGATTTCATCACCAGCCATCTCACCTCTTATATCGAGCCTCACCAGCATATCCTTCTTGTTGTCACCATGTCCGACCCAGTGTCTGTTTTTGACGGCCCGGCGTTCCAGCGGATACCCGTCTGGGTGCAGCAGAAGCTGTCGCCGCTCGCCGTCCAGAAGATCCAGGACGTCTACGACTTTGTCGAGAATGAAGTCATCCCCCGCGAGCAAGTCATGCGCCAGCAGGTCGCCAGCAAGCGCTGGGCCATCCCACCGGTCATGCACGAGCTGCGCGACAAGGCCAAGAAGAAGGGCCTTTTCAACCTGTTCCTGCCCAACCACTTCACGGAGAGCCCGGGCCTGACCAACCTCGAGTACTCGTGCTGCGCCGAGATCATGGGCCGCTGCTACTGGGCGCCGCAGACGATGAACTGCCACGCCCCCGAGACGGGCAACATTGAGCTGCTGGCCAAATACTGCAACGAGGAACAGAAGGAGAAGTGGCTCAAGCCGCTGCTGGAGGGCACCGCCTCGTCGGCCTACTCCATGACGGAGCCCGACGTGGCCAGCTCGGACGCCACGCAGATCAGCATCCAGGTCCGCCGCGAGGGCGATGAGTACGTCATCAACGGCCGCAAGCTGTACGGCAACTGCCTGTGGAACAAGGACCTGACGTTCTACATCCTCATGGGATGCTCCGACCCGGACAACGAGGACCGCTGGAAGCGGCACACGATGCTGCTGGTACCCTGCGACACGCCCGGCATCACCCAGGTGCGCAACCTGACCATCATGGGCTACGACTGGGCCCCCGAGGGCCACGGCGAGTACGTCTACAAAGACGTGCGAGTGCCGGCCGCCAACGTCATCCTGGGCGAGGGCCGAGCCTTTGAGATTGCCCAGGGCCGTCTGGGCCCCGGCCGCATCCACCACTGCATGCGTCTGCTCGGCCAGTGCGAGCGTGCCTACGAACTTGCCCTTGTGCGCTGCAAGGACCCCCGGAAGAAGCCCCGCGGCAAGTTCATTGGCGACTTTGACAGCAACATTGAGCGCATCGCCCAGATGCGCATGGAGATTGACGGCGCACGCCTTGTCGTGCTGTCGGCAGCCGACACCATGGACGTCCGCGGCAACAAGGCTGGCAAGCGCGCGATTGCCCAGAGCAAGGTCCTGGTGCCGCACCTGGCCACCCAGATCATCGACGAGTGCATGCAGATCTACGCCGGCCAGGGCTTGACGCAGCACACGCCGCTGCCCGAGATGTGGACGTATGCGCGTTTTGTGCGTGTGGCCGACGGCCCCGACGCCGCTCACCGGCACCAGGTCGGCCGCGAGGAGATGAAGACCGCCGGCAAGTTCATTGCGCGCCTGCGGCAGACGAACGAGAAAGCCAAGGCCTTGACCGAGCAGTACGGCTACAAGTACGAGTCGTTCGACTAAGGGGAGGGACGGGGATGCGTTGGTGGTGAAAATGAATACTAAGCGTGTATCATCTGTGTTTATTTGCTTTTTTTATTGTTTGTTTTACGGTATATAGGACCTTCATCTAGCAAACCTTGTAAAGTGAGTAGACATGCTCCGTTGCTTAAGCTCGACTCGCTCTATGTTACTCTGCGAAATAAATACTACCCTACTATTCTGTGGCTACGTTTTCTTCTTTTTCTTCTTTTTTTTTCAAATGTCCAATTGACTCTCCCCATTCATGTTCTATGCAAAGTACCCAACTGCTCTGTCCGCTCCCTGTAAGTACTTTATCGTTTGCCGCTGGAAGTGTTTTCCCGGAAATGGTAGCCACTAACACCGCTTCGTGATAAGTTAGCTCGGCAAGAAAGACTCTCTTGTTTCCCCCGTTCTCTTAACGGCTTAGCTTAGCCCACAGTTGGAGTAAACGGACATGGAAAGTCCATTTTTGACATCGACCTTTAGATCGTCGAGCTAGCATATCGAATGCAGGATACTGCCCCGACAGTGTCCGCTATACAACAAATGCCATACAAGAAAGTAAAAAAAAAAAACCACGGAAAACAGATCAATGTACAGAACGTCGTCAACGGCCCACCCGGCCGCTTACAGCTTCGCCAGACGGCCGGCTGATAACCGTGCGCCGCCGTCGACGGAGATGTCCTCGCCGTTGACGTAGCGGCCTGCAGCCGACGACAGGAACACGGCCAGGCCGGCAATGTCCTCCGGGATGCCCAAACGGCCCAGTGGGTTGTCTTTGCTCAGCTCCTCCTCGCCGCCCAGGTTCTTGATCAGGCCCTGGGCCAGTTTCGACGGGAAGAAACCGGGCGCAATGACATTGGACGTGATGTGGCGCGGGCCAAGCTCAACGGCCAGGTTGCGGCCCAGATGGTTGGCCGCCGCCTTGGACACCGAGTACATGATGGTGCCGGTGGCGCCCACGTGCGGCACGTTGGAGCCGGCCGTCGAGCTGATGATAATGACGCGGCCGGGGTCCTCGAGCGTTGCGCGGCCCTCAAGCAGCGGCAGACTCTTCTGGACAAGCTCAAAGATGCCGCGCACGTTCAGGTCCAAAATTTTGACGGACGAGTGCGGCGGCGCGTCCTCGAAGCGCGAACCCCACGAGGCACCCGCATTGCACACCAGGATGTTGAGGCCGCGCGAACCAACCAGGTCCTTGACCTGGGCGACCAGCTTCACAATGGCGTCGGAGTCGCCCACGTTGGCGGCCAGACCGACGGCGCGGCCGTTTATGCCGGGCAGCGCATTGAGGCGCTCGACGGCCTGGTTGATACCCTGCTCGCCCTCGAGCTTGCGGGCGGTCACAATAACCAGCGAGGCACCAGCGCGAAGGAAGGCCGTAGCC